AGACTGTTTGGTTCGGTTCGTCAGAGGTATGGGCATAGAGAATCCGACTATGGAGAGGGAAGTGATTCTCATCTCAATCCATAGAGACAGAGCATTATCGTATGGGGAAAGAGTATGAACGAAAAAATTGCTTGTAGAGATGAATCACATTCCTTTCTGAAATACTATAATATATGTGAGTCGTCTATCTTCACAGCTGGAAATGCGCTCCGAAGGGAATAGCTTTCTCCATTGAATCAGTCTAATGTGGAAATGGAAAGATGTGAAATTCATTCATCAATCTTGTGTTCTTCTGTGTAGCGTACGGTGTCTCGTGCCAAGTGAAAGGAAAGCTGAGCTTGCTCCAAACCATGAGATCCAAGAGAGTGCCCGGTCATCATCATTCCACTCCTTTCTTGGTCTACTTCGGTTACAACTTGATCTACGGTGCGATCAGACCAAGTGCGAGATTGGATCGAGAAAGCAGGAAGGTCAGCCCTTGATTGTTAGATAGATACCGACAGAATATCATAGTTAACAGCTTCTTGATTGCATCCGTGAAAGTTCGAGATTGATGGTTCGAGTTAGCAGGTAGTTCCGGAATAGATAGACAAGAGTGCTTTGTCTCCTCCCCTTTATCTGAAAAGTAGGTGGCTGCTGATGAGCTTCGATAGCCAGTCACCCCGCCCAAGGAATAGAAATAGATTTGTTTTCGTCAGCTCGTTAGCTCGTCATTGGGTCCAGTGAGGCGGATTCCTTTATTTACTATACATATCATATTAACACTCGATGCTTCGCCATGGGGATAACGCCTAGATAGGTGGGGGAGATGCAGCCACAAAGCATGGATTTTGGTCCGATTCATTGAGATCACCAGCCTCGGAAGATAGATATGCAGATGAGCTTTTCCCGTGGTCCGCGGAGGCTGGAATGCATGGAAATGAAGGAATAGGTGCCCTTAGCCCGGTATTCCACCCACTTGAGGGTATGGAAGAAGAGAAAGAGCAGAAGAGCTACGAATAGGATCACTTGGAGCTAGGTGCTTCTCCTGTAGCTGGCTAGTACCTCCTCTATTCCATTTCTCTGTCCTAACCCCCCTGCAAAACCAAAATATCCATTGCTCTCCTGTCCTGGGACGAGGAACGGAATGCATGTTGCTACCTTTTTAGCATCCTCTCGAAAAGTAGGTTGCCATCGGCCAGCATCATAAGCGGGAAGGAATGCAATCTCTTTTTTCCCCGAGTGAGAAGGCGGCGAGAAAACCATTCCTTTCTCCAGTGAAGGGTCCAATCGAACCCACCTGTGCTCGAATCCAAACCCCGTCCAGATGTTTCATCCTTTCCCAGTGGCAAAGAAAGAATCCCCATTTCCAGTACTTGTAAAGAACGAAACCCCTCGAAAAGGAATTCTATCTACTGGTAGCTAAGGAATCGTATGAGAGAAAAGACTGCAAGGTACATCTGGGTTTTAGGGAATAATAATTGTGATCTAGTACTGTTGTTCTGGTTTGAGTTTAGGGAGACGGGTGGGCGGTGCGCGGATTCCGTTTAGGCGAGCGGCAGTGAGGGGAAAGGGGAGTAAGCAAGCTTTAAGAGATAGGGGGATGGGAGCAAAATATGCATTGGTTGTTTCGGAATAGGTTGAGGACGTATGTGAAAGTACGAACACTTTTGCTTTTTCATACGATTTGTAAGACGCTAGTACTGATTCAAAGTACTCCTCATCATTTATTTTTGTCCACCACTATACTATATATAGTTCAAAAAATTTAATGGGCTTGATCCCGGACCCCTGGGGACAAAGAAAGCGGGAGAGACTCGCGTAGTGAGAGAGACTAAGAAAGAGCTAGTTCGGGAGTGCAAAAGGCGGACCACCGGTCAATAGCAAGAGGTAAGGGCACCGGTAACAGAGGACTGAGGCGAGCGTAGTGAGGAGGTTTGCCGAGAAAGAAGGTGCACAGGAAGGTGTCAGGTTGGTGTGGCGTAGTGGAAGCAGAGCAAGAAGGGTGTCAGCTAGGCAATGGTACCTCTCCCTGCAGTCTTCCCGTCGACATCTCTCTCTCTCTGCCTCTCTCTCTCTCTCTTTCTCTCTCTGTCTGTCTCTCTGTTTCTCGGTTTCTTCTGCTCTCTGTGAGAGCTTAATTTCCACGAAACCATAAATGAAAGACAGCAAGTGCAACCGGCCTTAATTCACTCAAAACCGAGAGGACAAAATTGCCCTTCTAACCTAGCCCACAAATAATAGGTTTCTTGTAAATAAGGTAAAATGAAGGGGTAATTCGTCCAAAACCGTCCGGACAAAATCACCCTTATTAGTTCAAATAATATCCTTCAAACCCAGCCCAATGCTCATGGTTTTTTTGTAAATAAGATGAAATCGAAGGGCAAACAATTGACTGTAGCCCAATGAACAGTCAATTCCTCCCTAGTTTTAGAATAGATAACTAGCAGGACTGCCCGCGCTTTGCTGCGGGTTTTCAAATCATGAAGAATATTCATAGAAAATTTAACTGAAAATGCTACAGCGATATAATCGCATTCTTAAATGTAACAATTTAGAGAACGCATGTTTTACATGAGTAACGCTCACAAAACCACACATTTACACAATTATCTCCAAATGAAAGAAAAAGCAAGAGATATGTGAATTGATCCATAAAATACGTAGTTTAATTTACATCGCTACTCATTAAGTCGTCATCAAATAGAAGCTTCACATCACAATAATTAACCACAATCCTCTGTTTTTGTAAGTGCAAAATGAAAAACGGAATCAAATATTAAACCCAATATCTTCACAGCACAATGTTCAACCCAAAATCTTCACATTAGCTCAAGAACTATATTGTTTCCAGAGCTTTCCAATTTCCCAGCACGGAACGACAAACATAAAAGCATTAAAATAGCTCTAAATTAAAACAATAGGATGAACTACAAAACGATAGAGGAAAGATTAAGAGCTTACCCTCACAAAATCAAAGCTCACCAAAATGCTTACCCTAACCAGAGAATCGTAGAGAATAAATCTGCATCAACATGTAAATCATAGAAAAAAAATTAAAATTTATAAATACCATCATTTCACTACTAATTTGAATAAATCCAGAAACAATACATTGGAATAATCTTTTAGGTCTTCCAATATTAATAGGTTAGAAATTCAGAAGATAAAACACCACAATTCATTAAATTCAAAGTTGAACAATTCATTAAATTCAGAGCTTACCCCTTGTGTTAAAAGTCATGTGATGTGTGCATTTACAGACACCAAGATTTTACATGCCCAAGAAAGGGAATCACTCCATTAAAAAGAGAGGAACTACTGATACTGCAGGTACATTAACCAGACCACTAATTTTAAATGACAGCATATGCTCGAGTAAGCGAAAGACTAAAAGACGAAAAGAAGAGGGTTATATACCCGTTTCAATGTCATTGTCAGGGGCCTCTTAAACCTGGTTCCAGAATGAGGATAGTCCAACACTCTCGTAGTGACTAATACTTATTGTGACCTTCACTCAGTTTGTGAATTAGAAGCTTGAAATACACCAAAAATTATATTAATAGCCATTCCCCTAATTTTAACTACTAACAGCGTAAAGAATTGGAAATTACAATTAAGATCAATGTTTTCCCCCTTTTTTTTCATTGCCATAAAAGGCAGAAAAACAAAGGCTTCTAAAACTCAAACCAACCGTCTCATTTCTTCCCAAAAATAAACACATTTTAATCCAACATTCATAAATGCGTGGTCAAACAGGGGAGAAAATTATGTTAATTTGGGCTTCAAATTTACAAACATAACTGTTTACAATAAGCATATATAACATGATTTGGTCTGCAATGCTTTCACCAATAGTTATAAAAAACAAAGATTCTAAAGATATGAATAGAATGACTATTACCTCCAAGTAAGCAATTGCATGGTTGCAATCTAAGTTGCACACATCATGTTCAATCTGATAGCTTCAATATAGCACTTGACAACATTATTTCAGGCTTTTCCTTAAATGAAGTATTTCCCTGGGAAAAGATTAGCAAACATAGAAATTGAAACAATACACATAAGTACATTGGTATCCCAGTTCTTTGCTAATAGAAAATGAAATTAAGGGGATGGAGAGACCTAATTTCAACTTTTTGAAGGAGAACACCACACTTCATCCATATCAAAGAACAGCATGATTCCAATTTCAATTTTGAACATAATAAATCACATAGCATTCATATATTACTTCAACTTCTTTCAAATTTACTTTTGTATTTAAAGATTGTATATTTTAATGAGTCTAAATTGACTATATATAAATTATACCTTTTTAATTTTAAATAATAATGTACATTGTATAATTACAGTTATAGTCCATGAATACAATTAGAGGCCTTTGAATTTCTTTGCAAGAGAAGATTTACACGGAAAAGCAACTGCAAATATACAGAAGGAGGGAATTTGAGTTTTGTAGTCCATCTACTCAGCAATTTCTTAATATAGATGCAACTGAGCAGTGGGAGAGCTTTAGCTAATACTATTCAATTCCACAGGTAATTATAAAAAAATAATCACATAATTTCTCACAATAAAAATCAATGTGACTAAAAACAAATGATATGTATCAACTTTGATGATTTCCCTTATTTTCCCTCTCCTTCCCAGCAACCAAACAGGGGCAAAAATTACCAAAAACTGAAAAGATTGAAGTACCTGAGCAAGTTGGAATGCCTGGGTTGCCATATACACTTGGTGTAAAAAAAATAAGGGTGGGCATTTTCAGAGCACCTAAACCCTTCATCCACAAACGTATGTAAAAAATCATACAAAATAATATTTTGAATGCATTAAAAGAGTTCATGAATTTCCATAGTGTACCAAGTTAGTAGAAATGTACTCCAAGATGACCAGGTCAAAAAGAGATTCCTTCACTCCCAATATGGTTTATCAAAAGTAATGTCTTATTTCTTCAAGACAAACATGCAAGACAACACCAATCACAACTACAAATACTAACAATTGTGCGAAAGAGTTATAAAAACACTCATGTACGATATAGGAACAAACCTCACAATTGGTCTTAAGAATTGTATTTCCAAAGAGACCCATTACAATGCGATCTGAAAGAAAACAAAACATGAATAATATCAAGGAAAATACATTTTCTCTGTCAAGTAAAATCTAGGGCAGGTAATGAACAAAATACAAAGTTCTCAGCTTTAATTTAATTATTATCAAATATTGAGGGAAATTAACAACTACCCAGAAATGTTTGCTCAAAATTAATTGATAATATGAATAATTAAATTACACAACATTTACAAAACCCAAAGTTCTTAGCTTAATTTGATCTTACCATTTAAGTGGAAGAAGTAAAAAATTACACATAAATGTTTGCACACAATTAATTGATGAAACAACCAATTGGGCAATCAAACCCCCTCTCTCATATCACCTGACGGCAAGATCTGAACCCTTGACGGGGTAGTGTGGTCATTTTGACTCCCAAACTGTAGTGATCCCCAGCAAAAGAAACCGGCAAACAAAGAAAAAAGAACAAACGATGAGCAATAAAACTCACAGACCATAATACACAAAATTCCCTATAACGTAAATTGATAAAGCATTTTACCCAATCCAATTGAATTCCTGATCACAACACATAAGATAAACTAATAAACCATTTTATCCAAATAACCATTTAATTTTAAACATTTAAAACCGAAGAGAACCAAACGCGCATATTTGGAAAAAAAAATGGAGTGTTTTGAGTATATAAATCTCACCCTCAACACTTTAAAAATGCAGCGATCCCAATGGAAGGAGAACTTGCAAAACAGTGTCTCACCACAAACACAACATATAAAACAAATAAACGAAGAAAAAAAAAATTTAAAAACCAATAATGAACGTTAAAATTCAAAAATCCTAGGACACAAAATCGCAAACGACATAAAAATTAATAATAAAAGTTATTAAAAAACAGACACCGCTTGACACCAAATGCTTGACGCCAACGACGACCCCAAAGGCAAGCAAAATCTCAAACCAGTTAAGAAAAAATTAAGAGTCCATTCCTCTGTCATATTCTTTTCCCCTGTTTTGCTAACCCCTATTCCCAAATGTGTCTTCGATTCTCTTTGTTCCCTTTTTCTCTCACCCTAATATCTCACCTGCAAAATCTTAACGCTGCTGCCTTCCCCCACCAACAAACCCTCAACACCCTGTAATGCTATTTTCTTCCATATCTATAACAAAAAATGCATGCATAAACACGGTAGAAATTTGCAAAAACCCACAACACAACCTAACTAAAAATCTCACGGATTAAAAGTTTCACCCAAAAGAATCCCCCATCTCTCTTATCAAATGAAAACTCCAAAAGCAATTCAATGGTTGATAACAACCCATTTAAAATTGAACCCAAAAAAATTAAAAGCTTCTCTCACATTGATTAGTTGTTCATTCTGCACCTGCATTTTACTAATTCTACGTTAAGAGTTCATGTACAACTCAAAAAAGCAGATTTTAACAACTAAAAGAACGGACAGTAACACCATATGACCGTGTTATGATAAAAAATGATAAACAAAGATTCGCTCAAAAAGCAAAGCATAAAAAAACTCCCAAAAACAAAGATTGGGATCTCTTCATCCGAATTATAAGTATTGTATATAAGTCTTCAAATACAGGACTAATGTGTTATAAGTATGGTGTGAAAAGTATTTACAGAACGTTGTTCCAAATCAATAGTTGGACAGAATAAAGTATTTACATAACGTTGTTCCAAATCAATAGTTGGACAGCATAACATGATAAACTTATTTTGAGCAGGAAAGTGAAAAACTATCTAGCAACACAATCTATCAAGAGATGTAAGTTCTCTATATACATATATATTTATATCAACTTGTCATATTTTATAAAACTAAAAGCATGACAATAAAGGAACCTTGGCTGCCATAAGTCATATCCGGCAACTGCTTCAGCCACCCCCACTGGAATTTAGGGTTGAGTGCATTTCATTCGAAAATCCATCACTATGAAATATGAAAACAAAAAATCAATTCAAATCCAACATATCCAACAACCCAAATATTATAATAATCTAATCAGACAATAAACAATTAGAGATGAAGCTTAATTACCATAAAGAAATGAGGGGTTGTCTGGTAGAAGCTAGTTGAAGCTTCATCAAATATATATAGGATGATCAAACAATCAGAGACTAATCTCGATTACCTTTCCCGTTCCAGGAAAATCACTTCCAGGCCCACTATGAAATATTAGAAGGTCCGTAAACTCATAAGGCTAATATAGTTAATTAAGTCTCCTTCTATCCCTTGCAACTCAAAGCAAAAGAAAGCCCCTCCTTTTCATAATCCCATACAGGGTGAGGTTAACACTTGCAGAGAGGGAAAATGGCTTATCACTTATGCCATATCTATTGTCTAACATACCTTGAACTGCCAACTCCACCATTCCCTAGGCTAGCAGATGCCATACCGACGTCTAATCACTTCACTACTGCAACACAGCAGATGAGGCTACTACCTCCCCTCCTCGTAACACTTCCTGCTCCTACGTCCACTCCCATCCAAGCACCTACCTTTCTATTAAACAACATAAAAATTCAAATTCAAATTTCTTTCCACAAAAGCATTAATTAAAATTAAAATTCATAAAACATAGAAATTGAGCTGAAATTGCTGAAACAAAATTCAAATGAAAAAATTTTAAAATTGCAAAGTCAATTAATTACTTAATTTAGCTCGGATCCACACCAAACTCACTCCAATTTTTTAAATTAAGCACCAAATACAAATACAAATTTAAAAACCACCGCCGATCCTTCGAAATCAATCGGACTCCAACAAAACAATTAATTTTCGGCATTTTCAAACGCAATACATCCAAAATTCAGAAATCGGTTCGGACGACTGACCTGCAAGCGTTTCGGGGAGGCCTGGAAGCAGAGCTCGCGCATTTTAAATTCCGCTCCGCTCCTGGAATTTTTTAGATATGAGTAGAAAATTTGGGAAGGAGAAGAATTTAATCGAGAGAGTGAAAATTCAATCTACTTCAGGATCAAACACTAAAGTACGAAACTTTACCTTTTCCCTTCTCAAATCTGACATCTTCGAGAGCTCCGCCCTACTTTTGATGGTCGTATCTGAGTTCATTTGTGGGTGTCGGCGACTTGCAACAAAGGTGGATCCACGAAATGGAGGTTGGTTCGTGGGCAGGAGGAAAATTCGATATGGGTTCGTGTGGAGGTGCATCGGTGATTGTTGAACGGATTTAACTGAGATGATGAAGAGGAATGGGGTGAGCAGCGCTGGGGCTAGGTTGAGAGAAATGGGAGAGAGAAGTCTCTCGAATTTGAGAGAAATAAGAGAGAAACAGTGCTAGGGTTGTAGGAAATGAGCTCACAGAGTGAGAAAAGGAAAGGATGGGCGATTTGATGGATGGTTATCGACAGAGTCGGGAGAGAGAAAGAGGGAGAGAAAAGGCGGTGCCAATTTTGTAAATAAAGTGAAATTCGGCTCAAACACACGGACACAATTACCCCCTAACTTTTAAGAAATACCTTCCCAACCCAGCCCAGATCTGATGATTTTTGTTGTAAATAGCGTGAAATCGAGGGGCAAACAATTGACTGTAGCCCAATGAACAGTCAA